TGCCACTCCTGCTTGTTAGGTGTTATTTTATCATCTTAGTCATACTTACTACTCTGAAAGGTTGCTTAACTTTTCATTTAATGGCTTACTTTCTTCCATAAGTATTAAGTTGTCTTTTTAAGCAAGTACAAAGCAATAAAATAAATAGTTTAGATAACCAAGATAAAGAGAAAATTAGAATAAGAAAATTAAACTAGGGCAAGAGCCTAGAGAATGGGCAGTTAAGAGGTGACCTGCACATTTGGCTTTCACCATCCATGGGGTCAAAGTAAAAAGTGAATTATTATGATCAAATATGCAGTGGCATCCTTAACATTAAAAGCAACTTGGTTGTTCTGGAAGAAAAAAGCCTTTTATGTTTCCTAGACTCAGCAGCACTGTTTTAAGGTCTTGTGTGTTTCCTAGACTCAGCAGCACTGTTTTAAAGCCGTGGGTTGGTTTGTTTCCAGAGGCTTCCTGCAGAAGGCCAAGTACTCCTTATTAGAAGCTCTTGCTGCTATTCTCATATTGTAGTGGGCAATCTGTAAGTCAAGAAGGGACAAAAGTGTTTTGGAGGCAAACATTATTACTGATCAGCAGCTGGATACCAGGTCCTATCTTGTAATCTTCTGTTGTATTTGATGGTCACAGACAAGTTGTTTTTTTTTTCCCCCATCAGATTGTGTGAATCATCACACAATTGTAGGCAGTTGTGTTGGTTGAAACATTTCAACTCACCAGGATTCAAGATGAAGAGAATTAAGCAATTTGCAGGTACCTCACATCCCCACTAATTTCCAAGGTTACAATTGTAATGGCTTTTAATATCGAGAGAGGAAAATGGAAACTGACCATGAGGGAGAGACAAAGAAGTTCATGTCTACTAGTCATGCAACTTTACTGAAAGACTAGTACCAGTGTTGTTCTCATACCTTCTTAGAAGGATGAGTCAGAAAAGAAATTAACTATGTTTCATGTGGAAATCCAAAAGTACAAAATCCAAAACACTAATGGTCCAAAGCCATTTCAGATAAGGAAGAGCCATCCAGTATCTGAGGTACTTCTTTTCATTTCTTATTTATATAGGCACATGTTGTAAAGCCTCCCCTATCTCTGTCCCCCATTTATCCTGTTCTGTCCTAGCCACCCTCAATTAAAAAAACAGAATGGCTGCTTCTAGTTCTTGTAGTTTATCAGAGGTTGCTATAATGATACCCCATTGTGTAGACATAGTGTGATTTATTTACCCAATTCTCCATGGATAAACATGTGGGTTGTATATAACCTTTTGAATTGTAAACAGTACACTAATAATTAACCTGATAAATTTACAATTTTCCATGATACATTCTAGAAGTTAAAGTAACAGATGGTGTGCATTTGTAATTTGGATAGTTACTGATGTATTATATTCCTTAGGTCAGAAGATTTCAAACCCACATGCATCCCACCAGCAATGTGTGAGCTTGTTCTTGTTCCCTTAGCATTGCCACCAAGTGTGTGGTCAGATGTTACTATATTTGCCATAGAAAAAGAAATTGTTACTTGGTTCAGTTTTATCTGCATTTTTAAAAATTAAATTTTTTATTTGTTTAAGGACTATTTTTCTTTGTCTTTGAATGTTTTCATATTCTTTGCCCATTTTTAACATTAAATTATTGTTCTTTCTCTTGCCTACATTTAAGGACTCTTTATTACCTTTTGAGGGATGGGGAGATTAGTCAGGAGGGATGGATGAAAGGAGCAAAAAAAAAACACAATTAATAGATGTTAAGTAAAATCAAACACCCCCAAACCTGCTGCTCTTTCAGTTACAGATACTGCTTCCTAGATACTTTTATCTAATATTTGGCAATAAATATGAAATATTTAATGATTAGGAAAGAAGCCTGCATTAGACAACTCTCCCACTTACCTTGTTTATTATTTTGTTACTTGAAATGAGTTAGAGAATGATGTTTTAGAGTTGTTAGTCAAAGGAAGGATACAAGATTTCAACTAGCTGAGAGAAACTCATTGTGATGACTCATGTGTAACATGGTAAATATTACTAATAAGAATGTCTTTGAAAATAACTTAAAAGAGTTTTAGATGATTTCACCACTAACAGTGTAACAAGTGGCTTTAGTTAGTAGAGTATACACATGAGACCTCAAGTATATTGTAACTTAGTATGACTTTTGTCAGTTTGAAAAATGAAGTTGTTAGTCTAGCACCCTTGGTTTATGCCTATAATCCTAGCTAATTGAGAGGTTGAGAATGGGGGGGATCAAGGCTGAAGGCTAGGCTAGACCAAAAAGCTCCTGAGACCTGTTTTCAATCCATAACTGGGTGCAGTGATATGCACTTGCCATCCTAAGTTATGTGGGAGGCTGAGATCAGAGGGTTGTAGTTAGAGGCCAGCCCCAGCAGGAAAATTCATGAGACTCCTCTGTACTGAGAATAATTGGACTGGGTTTTGGGCACCTGTGATCCCAGCTATGACAAGAAGCTAAAAGTATAATTTCAGCTTAGGCATGTTCCTAAGTAGGAAGTGAGACCCTATTCTAAAATAAACCAATGGAAAATGTGGAGGCATGACACAGCCTAACAAGCCTAGCAAGCATGAGTCTCTGAGCTCAAACCCTAGTATGGAAAAGAAATTAATAAAGTTCTTTTTTAATTTCAGCATATTGGAATCTTTGAACTTTAGAGTTTACCTTTGACCCTCATTTCTACTCATATTAAGCAATAACATAGTAAAGATTCATTTTGTGAATTTTATTTTTTCTATCATTTAACATTTATGTAACTTCTGAGAGCATTAGAATCTACTATAGCATATATTATAAACTGTTCTTAATTTTGAATGTTTCCATATATTTCCTTTTAAAATTATATTGCTCCAGATACCTTACTTTATCTTTTTGCTTTTGTTGATTTTATTAGGATAAATCCCCCCATTGAAATGAACAGATAATATGTATGTTTATTTTTATGGAACTTCAGTGGTATTGCTGTTGGCATTTTTATAAAAATACACAATATAAGAGCAATAAGTGGGACTATTGGAACCAAGGAGATTACTAGGATTAAGAATGATTCCTCAAAATAATTCTTCCTTTAATAGTACAAAATATTGTATCAGTATTGTCAGCATTCAAGTCTTTAGTTGGTCACCAGCCTCTCTAAGATTTGCATGCATCATTATGAATTCTTTTAAAATATTGCCCCTCTTATGCTGGCAGGCATCTGACTACTTGTTTAGGAGCTGGTGACATTGTTCTGTGATTCCGTTGGTCTTGGGGTTAAATGTCCCCCTTAGTCCTCACTTGAAGGATCAATGTTCCTTAAGAACACACTGAGTTGGCAACTCACTTTTCCTTGTAGACACCATTCTCCCACTAACTAGGCTCTTCTCCTGTCTATCATTTTGTTTTTGTGATGGCATTTTGAATACTTGATACTCGTTTACCTACTGAGTCTTTGGATGAAGCCTACATTCTTTGTAGTTAAAAAGCCTGCATTCTTTGTTGTTTCCATAATGGTGGCAGCAGTGGCTAGAGCAAGTAGACTCCTCCTCTGTGTTCCCAGGGTCTCACTTGCTGGGTCTTGCCATCAATGTCCAGATGCCACTCCTCAGCCTCTCTATGCTGACAGTGCCAGATTGAAATCAGGAGGGCTATGTTCTTATCATGAGCTCAGTGTCCTCAGCCCAGCCGGCTAATGTGAGAATTCATTTCTTAATAATTATGAGAATGATTGCCAGCTGGTTGCTGGTGTCTTTTTCAGCCTTCTGTGGTCTCTCAATGTGGCCCTTCCTGCTTCCCAGACAGTAGTGACCTCCTTCTCCACCAGCCAAAATGGTGAAATCTCATCCTGTTCATGGGTCCCACCACACACACAGGCAAGGGTTTCTACAGGCCATGTGCCTGAGATGGGATTCTGGGGCCTATCTCACCCTGCTTTAGGACCCTTTTCATCTTCCAGGATACAGTGAAATGATGTTTGTGTTATGAACTCTTTTTTTTTTTGTTTTGTTTTAATGTAAAATACTAGTTTTTTTATTGAAAAGGAGATGAGCAGGGGGGTTACAGTTACATAACAAGGTAATGAGTACATTGGTTTTAAATATAGTTTACCGATCTCTCATTTTCTCCCATTTACCCCTCCCTTCACCCCTCCTCCCCTAGTTTTAAGGTTCATATCCAACATAGTGACAAGCAAGTATCAATGTTGCATTACTTCATCCTTTGTCCTGCTGTTTCTGTGATTCTCTTTGCCCTCCGCAGACTGAATAATCTTATATACAAGACACAAGGTACAGAAAACTAAGAGAAATGGAAAATACAAAAAAAAAACCTATATACAAGACATAATAAGAACCTCTTGTTCCTGTATCTTGGAGTTCATGAACTCTTCTTACAAGCTTTCAGGCAGTGTGAATCACTTCCTTGCCTTCCTCGACATAGTTCTTTGTATCTTCTCATTTACTCTGTCTACTGTATGTGAAGTATACCTTTAGAATTCATATCCCTGATGTAATAAGAATGGGACACTTTACTATTACAATAAATGATACTAGATAGACTAGATACTAGATAGATAGTTTGCTTACTCCCTATACTTGCCCCCATTAGGGACAGAGGCTATTTTCCTTTCTCTTCTGAAAATGGTAGATTTAGTGGGCTAAGTGTTTGACTCAGAGCAAGCATAAATTATAGAAAAGTCCTAACTCATAGGCAAGAACCAGGCTAAAAAGAGCCTGGGCTTTATTTCAGAAATAAAAGATACAATTCCAAATAGTAGGACTCCAGAGGGCTTCCCTGAGGAAAATAAAGGAGACAAAAGTAAGGGGAAAGACAAGAGAACAAGAAAGGGATAAGATTGACACCTATTTGGATATATCCACAGCTGCTCCTCTTCACTTTCCCACTATTAGGACATCAGTCATGCTCACTGGTAATGAATGACCAGGGAAGGCTGTGCTACCTATCTAGTGTTTATACTTTCATAAGTAGTTTTCTTCTGTTTCCTGATTGCAGCTGGTGCTCAAGATCGAATTGGCTGGGCATTTGGCTTAGGCTTAGAAAGATTGGCCATGATTCTTTATGACATCCCTGACATCCGGCTCTTCTGGAGTGAGGATGAACGCTTTCTCAAGCAGTTCCGCGTGTCAGACATCAATCAGAAGGTGAAGTTTCAGGTAAGATGTCTTGTAAAAGTTAACTAAATAACAATCAAAATGATTATCTGGGATGGAAACAATCCAGTGCTCCAAAAGATATTGTTAAGTTTTAAAATCTTTTTAAATAGCTCCTTTAAAATAGAGTCCAACTGGATGCTGGTAGATCATGCCTGTAATCTTAGCTACTTAGGAGGCTCAAATCTGAGCATTATGGTTCAAAGCCAGCCAGGGCAGGAAAATCTGTGAGACTGTTATCTCCAATAAACCACTCAGTAAAAGCCAGAAGTGGCACAGTGGTTCAAGTGCTAAAGCATAGTCTTGAGCAAAAGAAGCTCAGAGTAAGCTCAGAGTACCTACATACATACATAGATACATATATACATTCATTTATGCCAGGTCCATAAATATTCAAAGGATTCTTAAGAGAAATTTCTGGAGAGAAATTCTGTGCATGAGGAAAGAGAATTATCAATCTTCTAAGCAGAGAGCCAGCTTTTGGTTTTATTCATGGTCATTTAATAGTATTTCTTAATACTATTAAATTTATCCTTTCTAATACTAAAAGACACTGGCTTATGGTTTTTATTTATAATGTACTATATGACTTTACCATTTTAATTTCATTCTATTTAAAAGCTTATCTTTTGTATACATATAATATAGAGGCTTTTTAAAACAAAGTTGTAAAATGTCTATCTTCTTTTTAAAATGTTGAATATACTTACATTTCAGACCGATATGATTGGTATTAATTCATCATCTTTGTATTTCTTTTCCCAATTTCCCCATCTATTCTTTATTCTTTTTTTAGGAAGTGAGGTTTATTCTTTTTGGGTTAGGCTTCTGTTTTATTTCTTCTGTTGCTATTTAATTTTACCGCTTAATCTGATTTTTACTGGTTACTGTATATCAGATATATATGTATATATATATAATTAATTCATCACACCAATATTATCAAATATACAACTTCATGTAATATTTAACAAATTTATAATGATATAGTTTTATCTACCTCTATTTTTGTGCTCTTGTCAGATTTTATTTTCACACATATTATATATAATATAATAATTTATTTCAACATTTGCTTCAAAAAGTTAATTGTGTTTTTAAAAAGTTATTTACTTTATTGCTGTATTACCCTTGCTATTTACCCATTCTTTTCAGTAGATCTTGGTTTTCTCAGTGATCATTTCCTTTATTCTGAAGAACTTCCTTTTTTTTTTTTTTTTTTTGGTCAGTCGTGGGGCTTGAACTCTGGGCCTGGGAGCTCTCCCTGAGCTCTTCAATTCAAGGCAAGTGCTCTATCACTTGAGCCACCACGCCATTTCCGGTTTTCTGTTGGTTTATTGGAGCTGAGTCTCACAGACTTTCCTGCCTGGGCTAGCTTTAAACCCTGATTGTCAGATGTCAGCCTCCTGTGTAGCTAGGTTTATGGGCGTGAGCCACTGGTGCCCAACAAACTTCCTCATTCTTATAGGATGAATCTTTTTCAGCTTTTATTTGTCTGGAAACACCTTTGTTTCATATATGTTTTTATGGGAATGTTTTCTGTGGATGTAGCTCTCTAAATTTCTAGATTCCTTTTTTTTTTCTTTTTGCCAGTCCTGGGACTTGAACTCAGGGCCTAGGCACTGTCCCTGAACTTCTTTTGTTCAAGGTTAATGCTCTACCGAGTGAACCATAGCACTGCTTCTGGCCTTTTCTGTGTGTGTGGTACTGAGGAATCAAACCCAGGGCTTCATGCCTGCTAGTCAAGTACTCTACTACTAAGCCACATTCCCAATCCCAATTTCTAGTTTTTAGTTTCCTCTTTCAGCACTTAAACCTATCATTTCATTGCCTTTCTTTTTCTGCCCTGGTTTTTAACAGTTCGACCATCTCTAGAATTTTCTGTCTATTGTCCTACCTGGGAGTTAACTGTATAGGCTAATGTTTTCAACCATTTAAAAATTTCTCATTTTGTCTCTCTTGCAACAATTCTGTTCCATGTAACAAGGATCTCTTGTTCAGTTTCCAGGAGCCTGTTCCTCCTTTTCTTCAAAGTCCGTATAAGCAAGTCTTTGGACGACCCATAATTTGACCACTACTATGTTTATAATGTGTTAGAAATTCTCAGATAGTATAGAGTTTCTCTGTCATGCTTCTTACTTCCTCCTTAGCCTTTCGGAGTCTTAACATCCAAATTTCTACAAAATGTTTTCAATGTAAACTATCCCTTTTATGTGTTTGTGTTCAAAATTCTTTTATATTATCCAGTCATAAGACCATTTCCACATTTTTAGAAATTTGTGACGAGCAGGACCTTACTTCTAGATACCAAAATATATGTTAGTTTCTGATTGCTGCTATGACAAATTAGATAAACTCAATTGCTTAAAACAATATGAATTTAGTACTTCGCAATTATGGAAGGCAGGAAATTAGTCTAACTGACATTAAGTAAGGTATCAGCAGGGATGTTCCTTCTGGAGGCTTGAAAGGAGACTGCATGCCTTTATCAGCTCTAGAGGCTGTCCTTTTTCCTTGGCTCACAGCTGTGCATTCTGTGTCCCTGTTTCCCTTCACCTTCTTGTTAGATCCCCTCACCAGTCTGAATGTCACCTCCCTCCAACAAGGACTTTTGTGACCAACTGGGTACTATTGAGATAATTCGTGATAATCTCCCCAATGAAGACCCTTTCTTAATGACATCTGTGAAGACCTTTTTGAGTATAAGATAACTTATTTACAGAGTCCAGGGATGTGGTCATATTGGGAGAATGTTATTTCTCCTGCCAACTATTTCATTTTATGTTCAGTTTCAGCATGCAAACTGCTTGTTTTTAGATATAACAGTTTTGTTGTTGGGACAAATAATGCTGTTGGTATTAGCAAATTTTTACTATTTGCACAGGGTGGTCATGTTTATGTATGTAAGAGGGGACTAAGGGACTTGTTTTGTTAACTTAAACCATTTGTTCTATAATCTCAAGAAGACGCTGGTGGGAGAGAGTATTGTCACAAAAGGGCCAAAGCTTGCTGGCAGTCCTAAGCTTATGTGTATTCTTGCTTGGGAACTCAAACAGCTTTTTGAGAACCCAGTTGTACAGAAGTAATGGAATATTCCTTTTCCTTCAGCTCCTTTCAGGCCCTCCCAAGTTTTGCTTCAGACTCTCTTGGCATCTGGGGTAATACCTTCTACAGTCTTCATGCTCTTGTAAACCCACCCTTTCAGCTGTGCAGATGGTCTACTTGGGACTAGGATCAGTCTCTCAATTTAACACCTTGAGGCTTCATCTATATGATTTTTTTGTTGACTACCTCAAAAGCTATTGTTCAGCTTTAGTAAGTAGGAAATTCAAGTTATTATGTAATTTATTTTTTACTTTTTGCCAGTATTGGGCCTCAGATCTCAGCCTCCTGAATAGCTAGGATTACAGATGTGAGCTGCTGGTATTAGGCTAATTCTTTTATTTTAATTTTTGTTTTTTATTTTATGTATCTCAAAAGCTTTTCTTGTTCTGGCTGTCTTAGCCCACCTGGATCATGCTTGAGACAAGTAGAAACACAGTATGATTATTTTGTCATTGAAGTGTTTCCTTGTTATATCCAAGAGTTTGTTGTACAAGAGTTCATCTCAAGCCAGGTGTCAGTGGCTCACACCTATAATCCTAGCTACTAAGATGGCTGAGATCTGAGGATTGCGGTTCAAAGCCAGCCCAGGCAGGAAAGTCCATGAGACTCTTATCTCTAATAAACTACCAGAAAACCAGAAGTGGCACTGTGGTTCAAGTGGTAGAGGGCTTGCCTTGAGCTGAAGAGCTGAGGAACAGCTCCCAGGCCCAGAGTTCAAGCTCCACAACTGAAGGAAAAAAAAACAAAACTGTATTTGGGCCTTTGTTATACATACTCCTATTTATCTTAACGCTCAATTTCAATGCATTGAACAGAATGTTCAATAATCAACTTTTATTCATTCTTCAAAAGTCTATAAATTGTGACTTCAATATTTAGGCCTACATAGAGAAATATTTGTTATATGAAAAATACTTGACATTGTACATTACAGTTATACATTTACTTAAGCACTATTAACTATATGTTTGTCCTTAGTGGCTCACCAATAATTCAGATATATTGGCTACTTTCTCCTAGAATCTGTCTCAGATACTCCTGCAACAGGAGTGTTTGAGCACGAATGCATTGGACATTGTTTGGAAGGCTTTGTGTACCTTCTCACTATTCTCTGATTGTTACTATTATTTTTCTCATTTACAAATGAAGAAACTAGCTATGTAGTCCCCTTTGTAGTAATATATGTGGGTTTTCTCAATCAGGGTTTCTAGGAGCTATTTCCTAAACTTTATCCTGACTTTATATTCATAGATTATTTATTCAGATCCAAAGAATTAAATTTTCCTTACAAACCTGTAATTGGTGTATAAGTTACAGAAAAGGAAATCATTGAGTTTAAATCACCTACTTTATAAATTTATAGGAGTAAGCTACATATATTAATAGTTCTAATGTGTAGACCAGTCACCTATGAGTCTTACTCAATATAGTATCTAGTTTATTTTTTCTGGGCCATTTGTTAAGTTGGCTAATGGTGCTGGTTCACAAATACACTTGTACCTGAAGTAATGATGGGCAAAATCATTAAACTTGCCATTACCTCCTCTGGTACCTCATCTGTAAAGTGAGGTCAGATTCTCTGTGCAGGTAATAAAACTTACTTCATCGAGTGTATTCTCCAGTTTAGCATTATGCAGAGCTGTTATTTTTTATATCTTTTATGCTTAATCTTGAAATTCCCTGCTTTGGTCTTGTCCTAACTTTGTTAACTTGAATGTCAAACAATGTTCCAATACTTTACACATAATTAAATGTTGTGAATTGCCTAACTTCTTCCCTTCTTTCCTCTTTTCCTCCCTCCTTCCCTTCCTCCTTCTCCCTTTTCCTTCATATTTATAACTGTCCAGATGAAGGGACTATGGGAATTGCACTGTCATCAGAGATATACTTGTGCACTT